GTTTTTTTTTTCTTGCAACATCGAAGCGGGTGCGCCAGGCAAACAGGAGAGAATTTGTCCCGACGACAGTACACAAATAAGCAAATAAGTGAGGTGCAGAAGAAAATGAAGAACCAAAGAGCGCCCCAAGACAACAAAAAGAAAACTCAACTCTGCCCACGCCCATGCTGGAACTTCACTCAACAGTACAGTAATAGTGTCGATCCATTTCGTTCTTTGTTGGCCCCGTAAGCGTGGGCGCTACACCATAAATCGAACACAACCTCATTAGTGCCGGTACCGGCACTAATGAGGGATTGGCCAGCCCTCAATAGTGCCGTTTTGGCACTATTCGCAATAGTGCCGGGTGCCCGATTTAGTGCCGGTGAACGCTCTGTGCACGTACCGGCACTAAAAGGGTCCCTCGACTGTAGCAGTACTTTTTCGTAATTGTTCTGTCTCCTGTTCTCCGCATGTTGGCTGCCTCGCAGATTGCACGTGCAAAACGAACCGACGATGCTCTTGCGGCTCTTGCTCTGGTTCTCTATCTGTCTCCTCCCCTCCGTACTCTCGCTTCCTTCTTCCTCCTTCTCTCTACTCTCTTCAACTCCTCTTGTTCGCTTTTTGTCTTGGTCCTTTGAGATGTTACTTGCGTTGTGAGCACGGTGCATCTCTTTTCCCTTTCCTTTTTGCTTTTCCGTTACACCTGCCTTACCAGGCTATCTCCTACCTACGGTTTGGATCTTTCTTCAAATCGCTCTGACAAAACACGAGGTTGTATGTACAACACAACCTTCGCATACATGTAGCACGCATGAGAAAACGTGGGTGCCGTTCCGACGACGGCTCCCGCTGAACGTTCAGTTTCAGTCATAACGGGATATCACAGATCAAAACCGACCAGCGGGGACTGTAATGGCACCCTCTTGAGAACCCCAAGACCATTTGCATCATGCATCACCACCACGATACAACCAAAGGTACACACAGGTATTCTCACAAATGGGGGTGAGATGATTAGGTTGTAGGGGGGACGCGGTAGACGGGAGAAAGCGTGAGGCAACAACCAACACGGGGTGGGCCACCGGGCCCAGCTTAGGCTACTCCATGCGGCCTGACTATTGTAGTCTATTTATGTACTTCCATGTTGCAGCATGGTGCAACTTACGAGAGCTGAACATGCGCGCGCGCGAGAGAGAGAGAGAGAGAGAAAGAGAGATGAGAAGATGAAGGAATCGTGTCGCAAGGTAAAAGATACCCTACATGATGAACGTCTGCGGCCTGCCGGCTACATTTTGGTGAAATATGATAACCGGCAAACCGAAAATGCGTCTACGAAACTTCTCTGTAGTCTGCTCTTGCTGTTTGGGAACCGACCGCCGTTAGGTACAGACCTGACACCTGCGAACAATGATTCATTGACCGACAGCATGCAACCTCTCAGGGCCTATGGGTGTGATACTTCCGCAACGGCCTTCCTAAGACACGCATGCGTATGCTTATAATGACCCAAACCAGAGATCTCGGACTGAAGCCGTGGGGTGGTGCGTCATGTTTTTCAGACGTGGTTGGACGTGCGCATCTGTAGTCTCGGTTTCGTCGATTGCTTGCTCTGCAAACATGTGTGTGGCTTGAAACACAAAAGGAGAATGAAATAAGACGCCGCTGCCCTCCCCCGCAGCGGCTCTGGTCCTGAGTGCTGGAACAACGACTATCATCACAACCACAATTAGCGAGAGGGGGGCTATATCCCAGTGGGGGCCACGAACTTGTTGTGTGTCTTCGTGCCACTGCTTATCAAGTCTACCAGAGAACGACATGTAGATGTGTTCGGTGAATAGACAGACTACAGAGAACATGCCGTGTTGTCGTTGAGAAGAACACAACGACTCTTGTTTTTTGCGTTCATGGGCTCCACATATATAGAAGCAAAAATTACAGCTGAATACGCCCGCACCTCAGCGTTCGAGAAGTGGTGGTGAGATCCAGGCTGGGCCTTCAAGCTCGCCAGTTTGTGCCGCTCGGACTTCTCCCCCATGGTCTGGACGAAGAGGGTAGGACTGGCCCCAAACAGCAGTCAGTTCAGTGATTTTGGTCCGCCCACCAGCTACTGCTAGTAGGTAGCGGTGTGTCTACACGTTGTTGCCGGAAACAAGCAGTGCGTCCGAGGATGATGATGCCAAAGTAAATCGCTGCCCCCTTCCCTCCTGCGCACGAGCTTCCCGGTGCTTGTCCGCCTCAGTCCCTCTGGTCAACAGGGCTCAAGGGGCGCGGGTAGTAGCTGAGCGCGGCAGTGCGGAGGGAAGGCTCTTGATGGTCTGCCTCTCACACACACGCGCACGTTTACGTTTCCATGACCCCTCCTCTCAAAAAAAAAAATGAGAACCGAAAATTTCGCTCCGCAGTTTCGATGGATGCAGGAGGGGGGGGGGCGGGGACGGGCGTCAGCGCAGCGGGCGGCGAATTTGATGGATTTGCTGTCGGTTGCAACGGCCACTTTTGTTGTACTGCTGCACACCGACGGTGCCCGCAACGCTCGGAAGGCAAGGGGCCAAAGGTGCAAGACGAAGAATCCTGCGTAGCCAAGGAGGCGGGCTGGACCTGCGCCTGTGTGATCGAGGTGTGCACGGGAATATAGAGATGTATTCACATGTACCGAGAGAGATGTTTTTTGAAACACACACCCGCGCGCTGACTGCAGGCTGGAGCAGGCTTGCTGCAGCAGTAGCTGTAGCGGCGCCAGCCGGCAGCAGGGGTTTGAATCTTTCGGTGATGACAGCAGTGCTGCAGGTGGTATTATATACGAGGGAGAGCGATAATGGACGAGAAGGGCTAGGCGCTGCGATGCCGCCGCCTGCCTATTCCCTGTCTCTCCCTGCGGCTGACAAGGGCTACAAGTGTCGGCCCTTCTACAGCAGCAGTTTCTATCTGCTTGTGCGACTGCGAGCTCTGTGCCCGCGGTCGGCCACACGTCGGCGGCGCTGAAACTGGCTGGAATGCACTCTGAGCTTCCGTGACAATTGTGTACACAGAAACAAGGATTAGCAGCAGCAGCAGCAAAATCTCTCATATGCTGCTGAAAAAACAATCCCTTTCGTACATACAAATGCTCCGTTGCTGAATCTCTGCCATCTTCTCTCTGGGTGTTGATACAGCAGCAACACAGAATATGCTCGGAGGTTCCAGGAGTGGCACAGGCGGCCATCGTCCAGGACCACTCTGGACATGCACTCGATGCAACCGAAAAACCGAGGCGAGGCTTGACACTTGCCACCACTGTCGAGCTCGGGCTCCTTCGGCCTCCGCCGCCGCCGCAGCCGCGAGCAGCAGCGGGAACGGCAGCAGCGGTAGCACCGGGGCGAGATTCAACACCGGCAATCCGTTCCAGCATTTCGTTCCGCCCGGCAGCAGCAGTAGCAGTAGGAAAAACAATAGCAACAACAAATTTACCAGCTCCAGTAGCAACGAACTCAGCAGCAGCTACGGCGGCAACGTCGGTGGTAGCGCAAGACCCTACAACCAGGGAAACGGGCGACCGACCCAACAGCAGCAGCAGCAGCGTGATCGCGCAGGCGGTGGCCCGGGACAAAGGCCCCCGGTGGAGACGGTCAGCTACAACCATAACACACCGCGCGGGAGCGGGAGAGGGAGCGAACGCCGCGAGTCTGAGGACGGCGGCCGAGTCTACATCAACCAAGCCCGAGCGGGCTCCTGCATCGAAGATCTCTTCGGGGGCGGGGGCGGGGGCGCCTGGCAAGTGTGCCACGACCCCGACGAGGACAGCAGTCGCGGTGGTCAGCAATGGCGGGGTCAACCGCGTCCGTCGTCGGCAAAGCCGCTGCCGCGAGTCCCGATAGACAAGGAGGCCGCAAAGACATGGATCTACCCTGTGAACTACCCCATCCGCCAGTACCAGCTGCAGATCGTGACCCAGGCCCTGTTCAAGAACACCCTCGTGGCGCTGCCGACGGGCCTCGGCAAGACGCTGATCGCCGCCGTCGTCATGTACAACTACTACCGGTGGTGAGTGCGGAAGTCAGGCGATTCCCCGGTTTGTCGTATCCTGCTACCAAGCCATGCATGCCGTTCGGCCCCGTACGTTGTATCGACTTGCTGTCGGGGCAGATTCGTTCTTCTTGTCCTGGTCTGTAGAGGACCTCTGGGCATTGCGGTGGGGGAGCCGTGGGTTAAAAACAAGCGCGGCGATATGAGGGGCATCTTGTACCGGTTGTTATCGCAGCTGGTGATGGCTGAAGAAGGCATGATTGCGCTCTTGTACTGCTCTTGTCGTTTGTTCGTCGAAACGCGTGCTCGAGAGCGTTGCTCGTTATTCCGATGTGTGGTATACGGCTGTACCATGATTCTAGACGAACCCGCGATGCACCTATCACCGCTAAATGCACTAAACTAAAGTGGTCGCTGCGGTGCGCTATTTCTGGTGTGTCGGTTGCACCCAAGACGAGTACTCTCTCTTCCGGGCCGACGAAGAAGGCATGGCATGCACCTGTTAAACCATCTCGAGCTTGGCGGGCCATGGTCGATCAGATCAAGCCTTGCAACCGAGGCAAGCAGAGGCGACCAGAACCCCAACCGCCTCCATAAGGATATTTTCCCCTGTCTCTTGAGGCCACGAGATTCCCTCACCAGTCAATAACCAGCCGGTTTGCCTCCACTCACTGTGAAGACTGCAGCACATCCCCTTCGACTGCTGTGGTTATATCTCCAACGGTTAGTCTGTGCTTTTTTGTGTATGTTTTCTGAAGTTTCTATCCACCCCAACCCTGTGTGCCACGAACGCTCGGGGCAGGTTTCCGGAGGGGAAGGTCGTGTTCCTGGCCCCAACCAAGCCTCTCGTGGCGCAGCAGATCAGCGCCTGCTACAACATCATGGGCGTGCCGGAGCAGGACACCGCCGAGCTCCAGGGGTCGGTGGACCCGAAGAAGAGGGCCCAGCTGTGGGACGAGCGGAGGGTCTTCTTCTGCACCCCGCAGAGCATGGCCAACGACATCAAGCACAAGCGCTGCGACCCCGCGCGGTTTGTCTGCGTCGTTGTGGACGAGGTGAGGGGTGGGGGTGTACTCATAGTCGTGCATGCCATAGTCGTTAGACCATTTACCTCGCATCCCAACAAAGCCGGGACGGAGCACGCGGGGTTGGGTTGGGGCATCACGGTTGCTTGCTTGTTCATTTTTGCCTGCTTTCTCGTGCGTGTAGTCAGCCCTATGAGCATGAGAATATACGAAGCCAGTTTCTGAGAGGCCGTTCGGGGAGGGGTTGATGACAAGTGCGATTCGTCTGGACATGGATAAGGCCGCGATAGTGCTTGATGCTTGTGTTGGGTGCTCAACACCTCTGTCAAATGCCCGTGCTTCGTCTGCCCAGTATACCGGTTGGTTCACGGTGCTGTACCGCGTAGAGAAACGTGGGCAGGCAGCCACAATACGTGTCCTCTCTGTTGCCTCTGTATCTGAGAAGCCTTGTACACAATTCCCCTCGAACGCCCACACACTTCAACGATCCAACAACCGTAAAGTGCCCCTCCAAGAAAATCATCAGAAAACTATGTAGAACACTCCATTTCGAAAATGCTGTATGGACCCATCGCCGACGGCGAATGTCCCCCCCACGGCGGGAACGGTCCTCCCTGCAGACATTAAGTCCCTGCGGTCATCCGCATGTGCTTTGAAAACGCCTTGTGCATTAAAAAAAAAACTTGTGCCTTGGGAACGCCTGCCTTGTCCATTGGAATTGCCTAAACCTCCTTGGTTATTGAAAAACCCCCTTGTGCCTTGGAAATGCCTGCCTTGTCCATTGAAAACCCGTCGGTCGGTTCGCTCGGTGCCGGACGCAGGCGCATCGGGGCACCGGGAACTACGCGTACGTGAACGTGATCAGAGAAGTTGCCGCCGCGACGTCGCACTTTCGGGTGCTGGCGTTGAGCGCGACTCCGGGAAGCGACATCAAGGTGCGCCTTTCGTCGTCATTGCTGCTGCTGCTGCTGCTGTTGCGGCTGCGGCTGCGGCTGCTGCTACAGCTGTGGTTGTTCGGGTGGATGCGCTGAACAATGTTGGCGGTGCCGTCAGTGGCACGGTGTCGAAGCTATTCTTTTTGTGTGACCTTGCTTGTCTCGCGCTATTTCCGTGGTCTCGTGTGTGGGGTGCTGTTAGCAGCGTGAAAAAGGTTTTGCGTTCTCCAATACAAGAGGCTCCCGTTGGTTGCGTCGCCGTCAGGGAGTATTATGCGTCCACTGCTACTGCTTTCCATGGTCGTATAGCCATCCCCTGGTTTGCCTGCTCCCGCACGTTTCTTCCGTTCCCGCTCGCTCCGCCTCCTTCAGACGATCCAGCAGGTGCTGGTAAACCTCCGTATCGCCCACATCGAATGCCGCAGCGAGGACGACCCGGAGGTGGCTCGGCACACTCACGCGCGTCAGATCGAGGCAAGCCGGATAGAGCCCGTCTACCACAGCCCGTCCCCTGGGTATATGGAAAGTGGCACTTCATATTTTATTCTTCGGCGGTGTATCCACTCATTACAGAGCCCCCATCTTGCTTGAGACCTCGTGGCACGTTAATAGTGACCACGGTAGGTAGTGACGGCGGCGAGAAGGGGAACAAGAAAAGCAGCGGCAACAGCAGCAGCAGGATGATACACACTCGATGTTCAGGCGGCAGGTCAGATGCCAAAATTTGGAGGCCAAAGACGGCCGACTTCTTGCTCACCATGTTGAGTATTTTGTGCTGTTCCCGCTGCTGCCGCTGCTGCTACCGCCGCGGGTGCTCTATTTTTATGGCCGACGATGACAACGCAAACCCCAACAGGTGGTGAAGTGCAAGCTCGGGGGCCACATCGACGCGATAAGGCAGAGCCTCGTGGACGTGCTCCAGCCCCTGGTGAACAGGATGGCCGACAAGCGGGTGCTCTTCAGCCGGGACCCTATGGCCCTCAAGGCTTGGACTGTGCTTCAGGTTCGTTGTTTGTTTTTGCAGGAGCGGAGTATGCAACCATGTCGTACATTGTACTTGCCTCCTGATTGCGTTTTTGCTCTCAAGAGGAAAGGGTGGGTGGGTGGGAGGGAGAGGCGTGCGGGACGCTTGTTTTGTGAGAATGGGTTTGGGGGAGGAGGGGCGGCGGGGGGCGGGCGGGGGCGTCTGCTCATGACGATGTCTGCCGTGTTTGTACACGGATCATCCTCTGTCACCCTTCTTTCTTGCCCATGCCGCCCGGGCGTGGCATCTCATGTCACCTGCTGTAAATATATATTATGTGCTTCCGTTGCTGCTCGCGCGTCCAGAGCTTGCAAGCCTTCAGGCGAAGCGTCCACGAGAACGGCAACGAGCACATCGCGGGGGAGGTGGAGGCGGAGATGGGCGTGCTGAACAAGGTCATGCAGGCGAAGGACACGTTGGTGACGCACGGGGTGGCCGGATGCCTTCACGTGGGTGGTGCTTGCGGTGCCTTTTTGTTTGTTTGTTTGTTTGTTTGTTTGCGCTTCCTGGCCGTTGCGGCAACAGAGTGAGTGGGTGGCGATTCTTTGCGTGCCGTTGCACTTTTTGGGTTGTCGTTGCTGGTGTTGTGGTTTTTGTGCTTGCTACTCGTGCTGCCGGTTCATGTCAGTGCTGTTGTTGATGTTAGCGGATCGTCTGATTTGTTCTTCTTGCTAACCTTCCAGGCGGACACGAAAAACGGCACGCATCACCCTTTTTTCCCCGCCTCTGGTTCAACTCAGAAAGTCGCGCGGACAAGAATCAGCAACGGCATGACACAACCCTCTCTGTTTCCTCCGTTCTACCGTGCCCTTAGAAGCTCGAGAACATGGAGAAGGACGTGAACGTCCGAGGGATACGTTCCAACGCGGAGAGGGGAGTGCTCCGACATGAGGCGTGGCCGGGCCTCATGAAGCTGCTGCGGCAGACGGTGGAGACCACCGCTGGCGCCAGCGTCAAGCACCCCAAGCTGGTGCGGGATGATTGATGATGCTTGGAGGGATGGGATGTCGTAGCGGAACATGTTGTCTTTCATGCCCGCCCCCTTCTTCTGCCACACGCTGGCAGTTGTCTTTTTGTCTTTTTCAAGCCCCCCCCCGTCTCTGATAAACACATTACCAATGGCTTTCCCTCGCCTTTGGTGTGCATCCCGTACCTCTTGGAAAAAATCTCTGCGTGACAGATCAAGCTGAAAGAGGTGCTGCGAGAGCACTTCGCGAGGCATGAGGCCGGCGGCAAGAGCACTCGAGCGATAGTCTTCACGCAGCTGCGCGACAGCGTCGAGGTGGGCGCAAGCTTTTAAGGTCGTGCTGCTGTAGCGTGCATGCAGTACACCCTCTTGAGAACAAAACTCATATCGGTTTAGTTGGCACGGCAGCGGTTTGTGCATGGGACGAGAGGATGAATGGGGCTTCACAGGTGTGGGTGGGTACATATACCCCCACAACGTCTCCTCTACGGTGCCCCCGAGCATCGATCCGCGGTGACGTGCTGAAAATTGCGAGATGATTGGTCTCTTTTGGTGGAAGGTGTCAAGTCTGATCGCACCGAGCGAGGCGGTAGTAGAAGTAGATAGACAGCTGCTGAAGCCACTCTCTTCTCTGTGTTCGGAGCGTCTGCGATGCGTGCGTACGACCCGGTACTCTGGCCTGCCACGGTCATTTTCGCGCAAAATCTCGTCATTGTCATCGACTGGTAACTTGTATGCCCCAGCCGCGTTGTTGTACATAAGGCAACCAAGAGTATTTCGTTGCAAGGCTACCGCCGGCAGACGAGCCCGGAAGGCTTACCATTTTTTTTTTGTGGTTCATCGTAAAGAAAACAGGCAGAGGCAGGAAGGGACATGCAGTCAAACAAACTGACAGACAGAACAGCTTTGGCGGATACAATTGTGGTTGTCGCTTTCTTTGGAGCCCGGGCTCTCTTCTGAACCCTGAACCCCTCGGGACCACGCACGAAGTCCCATGTCGGAAGCTTACCCCTCCCCTCCCCCCTCACTGACCAACGCCAAACATCGCCCCCCCTATGGTTGTGTGCAGGAGATCACCGAGTTCCTAGCCGGCGAGGAGCTGTTGAGAGTCAAGCCGTTCATCGGGCAGGGGAACAGCACCGGCGCGAAGGCACGGGCGGCGGCAGTGGAGGCGGAGGCTGTTAAGCTTAACGCGGCTCGGCGAGGCGGCGGCGGGGGAGACGAGGACGGCGGGGGCGGTGGGGCAGAAGACTTGTTTCCAAAGCAGCGGCTTCGAGGGCAGACGCAGAAGGAGCAGAAGGTACGCCGGCATGCGAGAGAGAGGGGGGGGGGGTAAGCCGAGTATGCATCCGGTACTCCGTGCTTGGCTAGAAGACCGAAAGCCCGCCCGCAAGAGACAGCTCTCGGGGTGCAGTTGGTTTAGTTTACATCGTGTTAGGATATGCTCCAGAATATCTCAGCAAGTATATTGTGTGTAAATGAAGACTGGGGCGTCCATGTCTGTGCTCTTATGCGCGTGTTCTTCACGTGCGTCGTGTACCTACAGTACGTGCATGCCTTCCGACGCCTTGCTCCGCCAATCATCCCACTCGCGTTTACTCCCCTCGTTCTCTTGTTGTTTACGTTTTGTTTTGTTTTCTTATGTTTTTTGCCCTTCCCTCCCCAAACACAACCCCCCCCCCGGTGTTTGCCATCGGG